GTGATGGCTCACAAACCAGAACCTAGGCCAGGAGAGTAGTAAACACACTTCTCCTTAGATCATACCACCTTGGAAGAATGGAAAAGTTACAGGTCCCTAAAAGTATCTCTGAAAACAGCTTCACAAAACTCCTGAAGCTTAGGACAGTGTGCCCTCCACCCTAGAAGCAGAGCCCTACTTTCACCAAGAGTTAAAAGTCAAGATATAGGCTAGGAAAATGAGCAAACAACAGGAAAAAATTCTGACCATAGAAAGTTACTATGGTGACAAGGAAGATCAAAACACACACTAAGAAGAAGAGAACAAGTCAAAGCTCCTACATCCAAAGCCTCCAAGAAAAATATGAATTGGTCTCAGGCTAGGTCAGGAAGAGCTAGGTCTTTGAAAATTAAGTAAGAGAGGTAGAGAAAAAACTGGGAAGAGAAATGAGAGTGATGCAAGAAAATCATGAAAAATGAGTCAACCAACAGCTTGGTAAAGGAAACACAAAAAATAACTGAAGAAAATATCACATTAAAAAACAGACTCAGGAAAATGGTAAAAGAGGTACAAAAAAGCCAATGAAGGGAAGAATACTTTAAAAAGCAGAACGAGCCAAATGGAAAATGAGGTGCAAAAATTCACTGAAGGAAAAAACTCCTTAAAAAGTAGAATTGGCCAAATGTAAAAAGAGGTACAAAACCTCATTGAAGTAAATCATTCCTAAAGGATTAGAATGGTGCAAATGGAAACTAATGACTTTATGAGAAATCAAGAAACAATAAAATAAAACCAAAGGAATGAAAAAATAGAAGACAACACGAAATATCTCATTGGTAAAACAAATGACCTGGAAAATAGATCCAGGAGAGATAATTTAAAAATTATTGGACTACCTGAAAGCAATGATTAAAAAAAGAGCCTAGACATCATCTTTCAAGAAATTATCAAGGAAAAGTGCCCTGATATTCTAGAACCAGAAGGTAAAACAGAAATTGAAAGAATCCACTGATCACCTCCTGAAAGAGATCTTGAATGGAAACTCCCAGGAATATTACAACAAATTCAAGAGCTTCCAGATCAAGAAGAAAATATTGCAAGAAGCCAGAAAGAAACAATTCAAGTATGGTGGAACCACCGTCAGGATAACACAAGATTTAGCACCTTCTATATTGAAGTATCTGAGAGCTTGGAATGATATTCCAGCGGTAAAGGAGCTAGGATTATAACCAAGAATCACCTACCCAGCAAAACTGAGTATTTTCCTTTAGGTGAAAAAAATGACATTCAATGAAACAGAGTACTTTCAAGCATTGTTGATGAAAAGATCAAAGCTGAATAGAAAATTGTCTTTCAAACACAAGACTCAAGAGAAGCATAAAAAGGTAAATGGGAAAGAGAAATCATAAGGTTAAACTGTTTATATTCCTACATGGGAAGATGATACTTGTAACTCTTAAGAACTTTCTCATTATTAGGGCAGTAAGAAGGAGTATATACAGACAGAGTGTACAGGTCTGACTTGAATATGAAAGGATGATATTTAAAAAAAATAAAACTAAGGGGTAAGAGAGGAATGTATGCGGTAAATTATCTCCCATGAAAGAGGCAAGAAAAAACTTTTAAAGTAGAAGGGAAGAGTGGGGAATTGAAGGGCAGTGAGTGAACCTTACTCTCCTCAGAATTGGCTCAAAGAGGAATAACATGCAGACTCAGTTGGGTACAGAAATCTATCTTACCCTACAGGAAAGTAGGGAGGGGAAGGGGATAACAGAAGGGGAGTGAGAGAAGGGAGGGCAAATGAGGGAGGGGGTAGTCAAAAGCAAAACACTTTTGAGGAGAGACAGGGTTAAAGGAGAAAGAGAACAGAATAAATGGGGGGGAAGGGAGGATAGGATGGTGGGAAATAGAATTAGCTATAGTAACTGTGAAAAAAATTTTTGAAGCAAGCTTCTCTGATAAAGTCCTTATTTCTCAGACATGTAGAGAACTGAGTCAAATTTATAAAAGAGACATTTTCTAACTGATAAATGATCAAAAAATATTAACAGTTTTCAGAGGAAGCAATCAAAGTTATCTATAGCCATACGAAAAAATGCTCTAAATCACTATTATATAAAAATATTTATAGCAGCTCTTTTCTGGTGGCAAAGAATTGGAAATTGAGGGGATATCCATCAATTGGGGAATAGCTTTACAAATTATGGTATGTGATTATGATGGAATACTATTGTATTATAACAAATGATAAGCAGGATGCTCTCAAAAAAACTTGGAAAGACTTGTATGAGCTGATGCAAAGTGAAATATACTATGTACAAAGTAACAGCAATACTGTAAGATGATCAGTTGTGAATGACTTAGCTATTTTCAGCAATACAATGACGCAAAATAACTCTGAAGGACTTAACGATGAAAAATGCTATCCATCCCCAAAGAAAGAACTGCAGGTGTCTGAATAAAGACTGAAGCATACAGTTTTTACTTTATTTTTCTTGACGTTTTTTGTTTTTGTTTTGTTTTGGTCTAAATTTTCTTTCACAACATTACTCATATGGAAATGCTCTGCATGACCACTCACATATAACCATATTGAACTGCTTGCTTGCCTTCTCAATGAGGGGAGGAAGGGAGAGAATTTAGAACTCAAAGCTTTAAAAAAGAATGTTAAAAACTGTTTTTATATGTAACTGGGGAAAAATGAAATATCAAATATATATTTTTTTAAAAGTCATTGTCTTCAAACTTCCCATACCCTTGCTGAATCATATCCATCACAGCTTAGGACCCTGACTTCTACTGTACTAAGGTCTTTATTAAACAATACCTTTTCTTCTCTCCTAGTTCTCATTCTACCTGTCTTCCTGCTCCTTCTCAGTCTCCTTATCCCCTAACTATGGGTGTTTCTCAAGGCTCAGTCACGGGCAGTCTTCTCTCTTTATACTCTTTCTCTTCAGCTCCCATGGCTTTGATTATCATCTCTATGCAGATATCTCCAAGACCTACATATCCAGGCCTTGAGTCTCTCCAGAGCTTCAGTCCTTTATCATCAAATGCCTTTTCAGAATTTCAAAAAACATTCCAGAGACAACTCAAAGTCAGCACATCCAAAATAGAACTCATTTTCACTTACTCCAAAAATGGCCCCGTATTGAACATCCCTATTTCAATCAAGGGCACCACCATTCTTAAAGTCTCTAAAGTTCACAACTTCCTCTTTTTTTCCCCTAATCCTTTTTCACCCCACATTTCTACTCAGATGTCACATCTTTTCTACATCCACAACACTTCTCAAATCCAACCTATTCTTTCTACTCACACAGCCACCAGGCCCTCGTTGCCTCTTGCTTATGCTACTTCAATGATCTCCTAATTGGCATTCCTTCCTCTCCCTTCCCACTTCAATCCATCCTCTATATTAGGTGGTCAAACTCCGAGTGCAGGCAGAACTAGATTAAAATGCAATTGGGAAATATTTGACAAAATAAATAAAAATACAACACAGATAATGTTAAGTTGAGGTTTTCTAGGTCAACAAGCAGCTTATAGGGAGCTGCTTCTATTTGACGTTGACACCAGTGCTCTATAGAGTTGCCAAAGTCATTCTCCCTTAAGAGCATCTCTGATCACATCAACCTACCCTCCTCACTCGGTTCAGTTAACTTTAATGAAAACCCTTCACAGCCTACCCTGAAATGATCTCTCTATTATCATTATACATTATTCTCCATCATAGACTAACCAAACTGATCTCTCCACACACGTAACACTCCTATCTTCATGCTTCTATAATGGCTATTCCCCATGACTGGAATGCCTTTGCTCCTCATCTCTACTTTGCAGAATTCCTTACTTCCTTCAAGTCATACCTCAAAAATCATCTTCTATAGAAAGATCTTTCTGACATCTTCCCCAAATGCTAGTATCCTTCCTTTCTAATTACTTTATATTTAACTACCTTGTATTTTTTTTTAAATATGGTATATGTTTATTCAGTATATACTTTGACATTGAGAAGGACCACTGAGTAGTGGATAGAGCTAGCCTCTGAGATGAGAAGTGGTTTCAAGTCCCACTTAGGACTGGGTAGCTGCAGGACAGGATGAGAAATAAGATAGTTACTCTCAATGCCTCAGGAAACTACTCTGGACTCTTTAAGTTTCAGGAAAGGGGACTGAACTCCATAGTTAGAAGTTCTTCATTAGAAACTCCCTATCACAACAAAATCACAGGTCTGGTCAAAATGTGTGTGTGTGTGTGTGTGTGTGTGTGTGTGTGTGTGTGTGTGTGTGTGTGTGTGTGTGTCTCCCCCAGACAGAGTGTAAGCTCCTTGAAAGCAAAGACTTTTATTTTCTGTCTTTGAATCCTTCACATATCACCTGGCACATAGTAGGCACTTTCTAAAAATACTTCTGGGTTGATTCAGAGAGACTGAAGTTTACCAAATGTGAATGACATCAAGGCTTGTAGGAGAAAGGAAGACACTGAGCTTTTTAACAAGGAAAGGACAATGAAGTAGAATACCACAGATGATGATGACAAGGAGTAGGACCAAGTGATAAAGAGAGATACTGTGAATCTCAAAGGATAAGAGAATGGTAAATGATAGGGAAAAAAAGGGAAGTGAAGTGTTTTGGAAGGAGGAAGAAGGAAACCTAGTACTCATGCTGAACAGTACTTTAGGGAGCAGAAGAAAAGCAGCTCCCTATTCTAGAGGGGTAGCCAGGGATTCATTGTCTTCTAAGGAAACATAAATTTTCTAGAGAAACACACTGAACGAGTTTCTAATTGTAAGCTCTAATAAATACATTTCAGTACACAATAACATCATGTTTTGTAAATATGGTTCTATTATTTTCTACTATGAAGCAGAATTTGCCAATATACATGTTGATTCATTTAGAAAAAATATGGCAGAGTTCCGAAATTAGAAAACAGATATAAATTTCCTTCTAGATAATCTGCAAAAACTTCAGACTCACATTTTAGTTAGCAAAAACCAATAGAACTTATAAACTTACATCTTTTTCTGACCGATGTGGAAACATCGAAGACTGGCTGTAGTACATGTTTTCATCATGGTAGTCACTGTCGACCCCCTCTACAAACTTCTTTCTTGAAGCACCAAACATGCTGTTTGTCACCTAAAGAGAAAAGTTATTTTAAGGAAAAAATACAATTTTGAGTAACACCCAGTAATACCTAACTTCTCTGAGGATTGGTTCAGCAGAGAAAATGGAAAATTAAGGGAGAGTTGATATGCTACACAAGAGATCAAATTGTGGTCAAGGGCAAAACAGAGTGATACTAGATGAGATCACAAATCTGTCTGCAAGAAACGTAGCACTAGATTTTTTTCCTTAAACATCTGGGCCTCTGGTGATGAGAATAATCAGATGTTATCTTAAACATCACTTTTCTATTCAAAGAACTATATCTATACTGTTCTTATATAAAAGTATAACTAATAATCTTAACTGTATACATATTGTGACTTTCCTTTGATTTAAGCTCATATTTTATTCCTGAAAGAGTTGCAACTACATGTACTTTTAACTATATGTGTGTGTGTATGTGTGTGTGTGTATAATATATATATCTGTATAGCCCCTAAACATTAAAAAATATCATGTGAGCTTACTGAAAGTACCTATACTTTATATCAACTGTACTGACTCATATTCCATTTGAATTTCTATGTAGCCTATTAAACCCAAATATTTAACCTTCTCTATTTTATAAGGAAACAATAATCCCATTTCACTCTTTACAAAATACTTTATTTCATTTGCTCTTCACAACATCCCTGTGAGGTTGGTAGTGGAGGTAGTGAGAAAGTCTCCATTTTACAGATTTTAAAAAAAACAAAACAAAACAAACAACAATGACACAGAACTAGAGTGCTTAACTGATTTGTCCAAGATTATTTATGGTTGTAAGTAATCATAGGATCATGTGATTTGAAATTTAAGAGATGAATTATTCCAATTCCTTTACTTCATGGAAAAGTAAACTTAAGGAGGGGAAGTGATTTTCCCAAGGTCAAACAAATAGTACGCAGATGAAGGATTTGAATGCTAGTTTTCAAACTTCAAATCCAGCACTGTCAGATTAAAAAATCTAAATTCAGAGGTGGTTTAAATGGTACCTCAAATTAAGTCCCAATAGTACAATGCTCAATAAATTGTGGTGTAACACTGACAGTTAAATTCTAAGCCTCAGTTTCCTTAGCAGTCAAATGAACTACTTCCTTAAACTTTTGAAATTACATTAAATTCTCAACTTGATAAGAGAATGTGATGGCCAGTCTCCAAGATTGTGCAGAATGGGTTAAAGAGTGGGCTTCTTGTTTATTTTTTTCTTTTGAGGCAAAAGTTTAGACTATCAGAATAACCTTGTTCAAAGTAAATTTCAAAACACATTTCAATATAACTAATTTCTGAAAATTTAAAATTTTAAATCATCAAGGCCTTGTCTTTGCTATATTTTTTCATGTAAAAAAGAGGCCGCTATGTAGTATTCAAGTGAGTTCCAGACAATATTGAGTAACTGCTCTCCAAGCAGAGGCAGTTAAGAAGGGAAGCAGTTTTAAGAGTGTGGGATACATATATGTATACCCATCCAAGATTTCTTTTTTTCAAAACATACATGACAAAATTTATCATGAGTTCTGTAAGTTAGGAGACTTAAATATATGAGATCATATGACGTGTAAAGTTTAATTAAATTCCATTTAAGCCCTAAATGAAATCATGAAAAAGCACATATACATATGAAAAATGTAATACTAACCAACACAATTTGACAATACTTGAAGTGAAAGTCCACTTCTCTGAACTTTATCAAAATTTAAGCCTTCAATTTCATTAATTCAAATGGACCCCAAAATTAATTCAAAATTTTATCCTACTATTTTTATAACTAAAACATCAGGATGAACAATACTGGATCTAGAACGAACAGGCATTTAGAGAAATAAAAAATATTTGCTGAGTGTCTTCTTTCCTACAGTCCTTTTCTGGTGGCTTATTCTTGATGGTTCTGGGTTCACAGAAGCTATATGATATGAAACTGGCAGGACTTTTGAATAAGTCCAACAAATTCTCTTGTCAAAAAATCAACCAATTAATATATGTGTCAATATTGTGCCAGGTGCTAGGGATGTACACAAGTACAAAAAACAAAACAAAACAAAACAAAATCCCTATTTACTAGGAGCTTCCATTCTAATGGAAAAGATAAGTATACACAAACACACATATGCATATACAACATAATATAAATCTGATAAATAAAAAATATATAAAGTAGTTAAAGTTTGTTGTTGTTGCAGGGAAAACACTAGTAGTTGAGAGGGTTAGGAAAGGCTTCATGCAGAAATGAGTTATATGAGGAAGCCATAACAAAAAAATGAAGTTCAGAGACGGGTGGAACAGGCAATCCTAAAGTACAGTGATAGGAGATGGAGTGTTATGGTGAGAGACAAAGAAAAGGTCAGTTTGGCTGAATTGCAGAGTCAATGAGAAGTATTACTATCCACTGTGTGTGGAGAAGAGCGAGCTAGGTTGTGAAGGGCAGGAGTTTATGTTTTATTCTAGGAACAACATGAAGTCAATGGAGTTAAGTAAGTTAAATATGGAGGGGAGACACATTGTCATATCTGTATTTAAGGAAAATTACTTTGGCAGCAATATTCAGGATGGAGGGAGTAAAACAGGATTAATTAGAAAGCTGTTGCAATCATCTAGGAGAGGGGTGATGAAGGTCTAACCAAAGTTAGTAGCTGTGTAAGTGGAGAGAAGGGGTCACATGTGAAAGAGAGAAGCTGTGAAAGCAGAAATGGCAAGCTTCGGCAACTTACTGAATATATAAGGTGGGGACGAATAAGGAAGAGGATGATGCCAAGATAGGAGAGTGGTGACTGACAGAAACAAAAAAAAGTTTGAAAAAGAGGAAGATTTACAGGAAAAGAGAGTAAGTTCCATTTGGGATCTGTTGAGTTTGCAATGTCTCCAAGACATTCAGTTTCATTTAGTGTGAAATGTCCAATAGGAAATTGGTGATGCAGGACTAAAGTATATGCACTGAGATGCTAATTAATCTCACAGGAACTGATGAGGTAACCAAAGTGCTAACCTAAAAATCCACATATGGCCTTGGGGAGGGTGGGGGACAGACTTATGCCACAAACTCTAAAATACTTGGTGGTTAAATTTAACAATTCCAATGTCAAATTCTGCCAGCAAATAAAATAAAGACATTCAAAAAAGGGAAAGGAAATCTGAATAACACAAGACCATTCTTCACACACCATAAACCATAAGACGTGAACTTGCTGTGGACTCAATGAAGAATCTCATAACTTCACTGAGCTTCAGTTTCTTCATCTCTAAAATGAGTGACTTGTATTAGATCTCTAAGATCCCTCCAAGCTCTAAGGATATGATATTCTGAAGGCCTCCTGGTCTCCTAATCCATCTATAACACTGTTTTTACTTCATTTCCCTCCCTTACCAGCACAGCAAAATATTTCAGCATATCCTTCATTTTTGTTCTTTTGTCCATTTGATACATTCTCAATTAAGGTAATGTATATGAAGCAAAACATAAAGGGCTTTATAAATGCAAGCTATTCTTCTGCTACTATCAACTATGAGTCACTTCTACCACCTCCTTTCCCTGCTCCTACTAAGAAACCTAGAGATACCAAAAGAAACCATAAAACTGTGTTGAATAGGTCCACAAAGTTAACTTCAAAGGGACTCCTTCCTCACAAAAATCCTTTTAATCCTTTCTGATTAACTATATCATTCTCAGCTGCTGTCACAAACTTCTTTTTTTCAAGCCACCAATTCTCATCTATTAATTTCTCTCAGCATGTAACTTTGACTACTGCTTAGGTTCAAAACTGAATTACTATAGCCATATCTTTTATTTCATATCTAGAACCCGACTGTGGTTCTCATCTATCCTCTTCTACTCTTCTGCTTCAGAAATGTGAAGCTCCTTCTCCATGCCAAAGCTAAGCTAATCATTAGCATCCTTGAATCTATTTCCTCTGAAACTCTACTTCAATGATCTTCATCTCTTGCTCATCCTCAATTTTTCCCTCTTTCTTATCTACTGGCATGTTCAGATTTCTCTATTTCAATTCTGTAGCAGTGGCAGCAGCAGCAGCATCTTGTCTTTACTATGAAACCTTCCTGGACACTCTCCTTCATGGATTTTCATGACAGTGTTCCCTCTTTCTCCTCCTACCTATCTAACCATTCCTATTTTGCTCATTTGAGGAAAGGGCATTGAAGTTCCTAGAGTTTCTAAGATGACAGTAGTCTTCCTCATGAGTTGCAGTGTTTACTGCACTTGGTAACTCTAATACTGCAGTTAGTTGTTCAACTTCACAGACTAGTTTTACTGCTTTCTCATTCAGTTCTATACCCTATTAGTGCCTCTCATTAATTCACTGCAGTAATTTTTTACAACCAGCGTCTCTGATAAGGGCCTTATTTCTAAACTATTTAGAGAACTAAGTCAAATTTATAAGAATACAAGTCATTCCCCAATTGATAAATGGTCAAAGGATATGAATAGGCAGTTTTCAGAGGAACAAATTAAAACTATCTACAGTCATATGAAAAAATGTTCTTAAATCACTATTGATTAGAGAAATGCAAATCAAAATGACTCCAAGTTACCACATCACACCTATCATATTGGCTAACATGACAAAACATGAAAATTATAAATGTTGGAGATGTGGGAAAATTAGAACATTAATGTATTGTTGGTGGAGCTGTGAACTGACCCAGCCACTTTGAAGAGCAATTTGGAACTATGTCCAAAGGGCTATTAAAATGTGCATACCCTTTGACCTAGTAATAGCACTTCTAGGGCTATATCCCAAAGAGATCACAAAAATGGGAAAAGGACCCACATGTACAAAAATATTTATAGCAGCTCTTTCTGTGGTGGCAAAGACGTGGAAATTGAGGCGATGTCCATCAACTGGGGAATGGCTGAACAACTTGTGGTATGTGAATGTGCTATTGTGCTATAAGAAATGATGAGCATGGGGGCAGCTAGGTGGCACAGTGGATAGAACACTGGCCCTGAAGTCAGGAGGACCTGAGTTCAAATCCAGCCT